ATTTACGATTCAATTAACTCGGAGAATCTAAAGGATAAAATTATGGAATATGAAAATTTGTTTAAATCCAATCCTCGTCTGGTTATTAAAGCATCTTCTGTTGAATTTGTAAATGAGTCACTTCGTGACAACAAGTCCTTTGATAAAAAGTTATTTTTATCCATCTTACTTGGATATTTTTTCGGCGAAAGCGTCAATTCTCTTTATGAATTGCCATCGCGTTTTCAAGCGATCCCCTTGCTGGAAGTGCTGCTGAAAATTGACGAGAGCACACTCCCATCCGGCACCGTTCAGAAAATTCATCCCGCAATCGTGCCATTAATTCGCCATAACATTCGTTCTGGCTCGTTTGAATGGCTGAACTTTTTTGCCGTGGCAAAGCTTCTGGACCCAAAATATGACTTTGTTGATCATATCCCAGAACAAAATTACAGTGAAAAAAACATGGATACCTTTTTAAAACTTTTGAAGCTGCAGGTTTGTCCTCACTTGGATCAATTGGAGGACGACGATGTTTATGTGAGGATTGCGAAGGTAACAAATATTGAAAAAAAGTTTTTATTTTATTTTATTTTTTTTTTTCGGTTTCATTGGATTGTCATCGAATCATTGATAAATATTTTTTTTTCTCACGAAATTAGTGGTCGCTTAAGCAATGCAATAGTATGAAATCGATTGTCGAAGTGTGGAACAATATTATTATTCACACCGAAGCAAGAGATGTTCATCTCTTCAAATATTTTAGGGAGCGTACTCAAAAAATTGTAAAGTCGATTGATATACCTGCTGATTTGTGCTCCCAGTTTACCGCGCTTCCCGATGATCTCAAGGATTTGACCACCGAAATGTTTCGCAAGCAAGCCCTTCATATATTGGGCCTTCATTTTAACCGCGACTGGATAAAGGAACAAGCCGAAGCAATTCGTGAACTTTTTTTTTTAAATGAACAACTAGGGTGGACTCGGCAAGAGTATACTTCATTACTTGATACTATATCCGAATGTTCTGATCTTGAACTATTGACTTCGTTTCCTAAACTTTTGGAATTTTGGCGTACATCGTTCGAAGATCCACACGACAAAGATCTTCCAAACATATGTAAGAAATGGTATCGAAAACTTTTGGAAAGAGGATCGGGAATCACAGCGCTCAAGGACAAATATGTCTTTATGGCATTTA